CTCGCGAGTAGTTGCCTCGTGACTCCTCTCCCCGGTGGCCATGTGGCTGCCCCGTGGCCACAGACGGCCTGCCCCGCACGGTGGAGTGGGCATCCCCTCCGTGCCCCGCCGCGCGACAGCCCGTTTCAGCCTCTCCGCGCGCCGATATGCGACCTCCTGCAGGTGGGGCAAGGGCTGCGTGTGCAGGCAGCCAATACCGGCCACGACACGTGGGCACAAGAATGGCACAACCGCCGGCTTGGGATACGTTGAAGGACGACTGCGCCCACGAGCGAGTGGGTTCAGGCCCCCCCGCAGCTCCCACGCGGAGTCATGCGCCGGCGTCCGTTCGTCCTGGCTTTGAAAGGGGCACCCTGTCGGACGGGGCTAGGACGAGGATAAATCCGTTCCAGAGCGTTCCGGAGAGCTCTCAGATAGTTCCGGAACGCTCTGAGAAGGCCGCGACGCCGGATACATCTTCCAGAGCCGCCGGATCTCAGAGATTCTCGGTTTATTCTCACCTGATTTGATTATCGTCCCGGCTTCGTCTTACTTCTGTTCTTCGTTCTTGGACTCTTCATCTTGGAATGCTCTTCTCTCTTCGCCTTGAAGGCCTCCGTGGACACTGGGCCTTCGGCGAAGGCCCTCGTGCTCTAGACCCGCGCTCTTGTGGTTACGCTGCGCCTGTGTGCTGTACTGTGGTCGGCGTCACCGAAACAGACTAATACTATGTGTCCGTCGCCCCCACAGGGTCGACGCACACGCCGAGCAATCTTGTAGTATCTGCTCTGTGGCGGACGCTTTCTGGTTGTACCGCTCGGGAAACGATAAACTACAATATGGTTGTACTAGATGTTCGGGTCGGACGTGCGTCTCCGAGGAGGACACATGTACCAGCATGTTCCTCTGCGTCCCTTGTGGTGCGGAGTAGTGCCGCGCAGAGTGCTGGAGCCTGTCCCCTGCCCGCGGCGAGCGGGGAGTAGCGGGGATTAGCGGGATTTGCAGGAGTCATCCTTGGCATCGCTCGGACGTGTCCATTTCCTCCTTGGCGAGGACCTCCGAGGAGCACCTTGGACCAGCTCGCGAAGCAAGCATGACACGCACGCGCGAGGCCGAAGCACCGACTGGGAGTGGACGCCCAAGCGATGGCGGGCTTCTGGCCGCGAGCGGGCACGCACTGCAGCACCGCCCCCGGCGACTCCGGGGAGGAGGAGGAGGAGGAGGAGGAGGAGGAGGAGGAGGAGGTGGAGGAGGAGGAGGAGGAGGAGGAGGAGGAGGAGGAGGAGGAGGAGGCGGAGAAGGAGGAGGAAGAGGAGGAGAAGGTGGAGAAGGAGGAGAGGATGGAGGATGGAGGAGGAGGGGGAAGGAGGAGAAGGACTCTCGTGCCCCAAGGACTGGGGCGAAGCGGTGATCGTTTCTTTAGATTCCTTGTTCTGCCGATCGGCGCGGGGCCTCGCCGCCCTCCCCCCTCTCCTCCCCTCCCCCCCCCTGGAGTAGACCCCGTCTGCTTTCGGCGCCTGTTTCGAGCAGGTGGGGCCTCTCCCACCTAGGACGCACTGCTGCAAACAGTCGCACTGAGCAGAGGTCTGGAGCCAGAACCCCCCCCCTCCACCCCCCCCTTCCGCCCAATGTCGAAACGCCGAATAAAAAAAGTTCACCTGAGTTCTTCCGGGCCCCAGGGCCATTAGAAGTCGAAGAACAAACAGCGGCATGAACATAAACTCTCGACGGTCCGCGCAAATTTCTTGGATCCGCGCTGGGCCCCCCTGGCAGCGCCTCTGGCGCCGCCCCTGGTGCGCTCTGCGCGCCAGGGAGGGGGCTCCAACGCGGATCGAAGAAATCCGCGCAGACTGGTGAAAGTTTATGTTTATGCAGTTTTTTTCGGTTCGTCTAACAAGACCATCGGCGACGACAGGCCGTCCTCGATCGCTTTGCGCGGTGTTCAACAGCAGAGTGCACGCGCCTCCTTCGGGCGGCGTCTCTCGAGGACGCTCCGGTGCCTGCCCCAAGACGAGGTCTGGAAGTGCACGGCGGCCGCCAGTGTCTCGGAGTTGGCCGATGTCGATTGGTTTGCGCTGTCGGAGGGTCGCGATCATCCGACGATGTGTTTTTTCAGTGCGCGGCCACGGTCTTCCCCTAGCTGGGGTCCTCCTATGGGTACGGTTCAGCGAAGACCACGCCGTGCCCATAGGAGGACCCTGGCTAGGGGATTCTTCCAGCGTGGGGAGTGCCCCAAAGCGGATTGAAGACGTGCCTTGGCTGCTCAAGATTTTCCCCAGGCAGCCCAAGACGGGCTCAAAACAAAACGGAGAAATGGCGCTTGGCTCAAATGTTCCCCGGAGACAGCTTTTCGTCCCTAATGTCCCCGGGGCCCAATGTGTTGTGAGGCAGAGCGATTCGACCCCAAGAGTTCGTCATTTCAGCCAAGGAAGCCGGCGGTCCCAAGACGTCACGGTAGGCCCAAAACGAGTAGGGCGAACGGTGTGTGCAAGTATGCACTGACAGCGGCCGGCGGTGCAGAGAGGTTGAGTTCATTGTTGAGCCACAGGCCACAGAGAGAGTGGGAAGCCATAAGCGCATTGCCACAACAGCGGTCTTATATTCCAACGCTCTTGTGCCTTCGGTGCACACGGTCTCTTGCTTTCTTGCCTGGGGCCAAAAGGCGGGCCCCAAGCGATACAATCAAGGAAGCACGCTCAGATTGGAAAACTCCGATCGTCGGAGATTTTGGTCCTCTTCCCAAACCCGCGCTCTTCCCTGGGCCAGGCTGGACAGCCGGCCATCAACAGCGAGTGCTGCATCGCCACTGGCCGCGCCGACGGCAAGCCATGCCTGCGGGCCTGCGGCGAGACGGGGCTGGGGGCCAGGGCGGACGATGAAGCGGACGTTTGTCTGGTAGAATACAGTTGGGGAGCAATAAAAGTAAGGGGGACCGAAGATAGCAAGAACATGGCCCCAAAGGGGGCCTAAATTGCCAGCGCACGCAAGCTGCACGTTTCTTCTCCCCCCCCGCATTGACGAGCACCCGAGCCAGGGAACCCAGACGTCTGGCGTCCCGACAAAAACCGGCGCGTCCCCAGAGACCAACCAGGGCTCTGCAATTGAGGACTTTGCCAGATCCAGCGGGAGAAAGCCGAGAACCGGGAGTGTCTCGGCCAGCTGCTGCTGTTTTCTCGGGGGAGCCAGCGTCCTGGCTTGGTTTACCAAAAGACTCCAGCCCCGAAGGCGTCCGGTTCTTCGCCGTCATTGGGACCTTCGGAGGCCAGTGTGGGGCCACGGGGCCGTAGTCCAGGAAGCAGTACGTCATGATAATGGTGCTTTCCAAGATTGCCAGGGTTTGCTGCATTGCCTTCCGTTCCGCGCGGGCTGCAGAAACGAGGGCACTTACACACTCTGGAATCCCGGCACGTATCCCCAGCCAATCTTATCATGATATTATTTCTGTCCCAGGTAAAGAAAACAATCCGGGATCAAACCTCGGTCCTGGGAAAGTGGTCGAGAGGTCAGGGGGGCCCACTTCTCAACAAGAATCGAGCCGCTCCGTGCCTGGGCAAATATGGGTGGGTCTGTCATCTGCTGCATGCGGAGCCCGTTTGGACCCCGCCGCCAGGCCTTTCGCCTCGATGCGTGGTCGGTCCCGTCGCCTGGACGCGCCAGAGAAACCAGCTGCACGCATCCGGTTCGTGAATCCCCCCTTTGATGTTCCCCCCTTCCATCCACCCTGAGGGGGGCGACCGCGATCGAGAGCAGTTCTCATTTGAACTTTCTGGGCATTTTGTCCCCATCTAGGCTTACCATAACGGGTTCTTGATGTTCTGTTGAGGTTGCGGCCAGGTCGGTTGGTGGGGCCGACCTTGGTGCAGGCAGAACCCTGAGCATCCTGCTTCAACGCTTTCTTTTCGTGTCGCCAGGACTCCATCTCTGTGTCTGTTTCTGATCATGTGTCTGCAATCCCTTTCAGCCTGTGGGCTGTTGGTGTTGCCAGAACTCCACTTCTGGGACTGGTTTGGATCATGTGGTGGAGCAAACCCTCCATCGTTTGGTGCTCGTCATGCTGCTGGGGCTAGCTACTCCCTGGCCTGACTTTTGGACGTTTTGTGCCTGTCGTGTTGCAAGAATCCCACTCGGTGGCCTGATTCTGAGCTCGGCGGCGAGCCAAGGGGGGGAGTGAGCAGGGGCGGACCTTCTCAGAAGGCTCGGACGTCCCCCGGCCTTCTGAGAAATTTTCGAAGCCTTCCCCGAAGACGCAGAAAACCTTTCAGAAGGCCAGACGCCTTCTGAGAAGCCTAGCCGCTTTCTGAGAGGGTCTCCTTCTCAGTTCCCCCCCTCGCTCGCCTCCGATGAACGCCCGGGGCCAACCCTCCTCGCATGGTTTTTGTGACGCTCTCATGCTCCATGTCTAGATCCAGCTCCAGCTCTAGTTATTTAGTTTCAGCTCCAGGTCCAGCTCCAGGACCAGCTCCCCCCCCAGCCCCAGCTCCAGGAACAGCTCCAGCCCCAGCTTCAGCTCCCCAGCCCCAGCCCCAGCTTCAGCCCCAGCTCCAGCTCCAGCTTCAGCCCTGGCTTCGCTCCGGCCCCAGCTCCAGGATCAGGTCCAGCTCCAGCTTCAGCTCCAGCTTCGCTCCGGCCCCAGCTCTAGCGCCAGCTCCAGCTCCAGCTCCAGCTCCAGCTGCAGCTGCAGCTCCAGCTCCAGCTCCAGCCCCACCCCCAGCCCCAGCCCCATCTCCAGCTCCAGCTCCAGCTCCAGCTCAAGCCTGCCCAGAGATCCGGCGCCCTTGGACCGTCAACAAGTGACTCGGGGTTCTGAAATTTGAGGTGGCCCGCGACTCGAAAAGAGAGAGAGAGAGAGAGATTGCGCCCTCTGGGCCACAACGCGGGTTATGCCCCCTCCCCCCTCCCCACTCCTCCCCCTTCCTGACGTAACTCTCCCACTAATCCAGTGCGTACCCCCGGCCCTGCCGCAGTACGTCCAGCACCACAGTCTGTCACAGATGTCTGGGTTGTGGGGGACAGGGATGGGGTGGCGATTCTGCTGTCGGTCGTTGTACGGCATGCTGAAACGAGTCCTCGGGTCGAGCTGCGCCCGCGGCCATGCGTTTGTGAGATGTGTGAGTTGCTGGACGGCCTTCCTGGGCCATGGCTCGCTTCATTGGGATGTGCATCGAATCATAGTTGTAGCAAGAGCATTTGCAGGGAAGCCAGCAGCCGTTGGTGCTGTTTTGTTTCCTACTGCGATTGTCCAGCGTCGGTGGGCTGTCGCACCTGCCGCATTGCGGTACACTATCCTTTCGCATCACAGGCTCCATATCCCAGTATAAAACAGGAAAATATTCGCCTCCATTCAACATCATTCTGCAGGCTGGGATGGTCCTGCAGGTTTGAAGTGTTCGTTGGCCATGGCCATGTAATCGTGGGGTGAGGAAAGACATCGTCACTGATTGGAAGTCACCTCAACTGGCCATGTCGGGTCAACTATTGCTCCGAATCGTGTCTCTATATACTCCCTGCGGTCCTTCCTTTCTCTTTCGATCATCGGCTGTCATGGGGGTCTGCGAGCCAGAACAGGAGCAGGGACTGACAGTCGAATGGTGGAGCGTCCTTCCACAACAGTCCATCCGAGGAGCCTGACCTGTTGCTACCGTTGCCAGCTCTCTCTCTCTCTCTTTTTCTCTTTCTACTTCCCGCCCTCTCTCTCTCTCTCGTTCTTTCCTTGTGTAGACGCATACACATGTATCTATATCGAGCCGTTTTCTGACCCCACGCTGGTGGTCGTCCATGCCCTCTCGCGAGTATCGGTCGTCGTGCGCGTGAAGATGTCCGAATCAGCAAACAGGCTGGGCCCCACCCAGCGGGCGGCAGGCGAGCCCGGGGTGCCGTACTGCAAGGCGCACATGAAGTACGGAGACCCCTCGCTGAAGGCGGCGTTGCCATCGTCCACCGTCAGAGTTCGCTGGGCGAGCGGGAATGGCTCCAGAGCGTTTTTGGAGCGCTCTCAGATCGGGGCGCTCTGGAACGGCCGCGGCGCCCGATACGTCCTCCAGAACCGATTTTGCCCTGGCCCTGGCTTCGTCTCAAGTTTCCGCAGGGAACATGGACACAGGCGCAAACAAACGCTCAGTTTCCGGAACATGTTTTGAACGTATGGGGCACTGAGCGGAAGAGGTCAATCCAGGAAAAGTGCAACAACAGAGGACGTCATGCAATTTGGTGTCAGTGTATTTGTGTCTCCCTGAGCCCTTGAATCTCTGGGGCTGCCCGAGGTGTTCCTTGCCGCCGTCTCGCTCCGTCTTGGAGAGCCCCTCTGCAGGCCACGGGGGCCTCCTTTGAAATCCTGGAACTCTTCGGGCCCGGGACACTTGTGGGTAACCTCCGAAGAATGGATGCACATTCACCGCCTCGGAGTCGTGCCCTGGGATCTCGAGGACCTCTCGAGGAGTGGTGGATGCGGACATCTGCTCGCTGCTCGCCCCTGATTCCGGGAAAGTATGCGCATCCACCTTTTCCTCGGGGATCCAGGGCATGACTCTGGAAGTTGTGCACGTGGATGCGTCCTGGCGGGGCACGTCGGCCGCCGTTCGAGGAGCTTGAGCTATCCACCTCACCGACATCGGCCAGGTCTATCCTGGGTCCGGGATCGGTGAAATCGCCCGCCTGGCCTGGCCAGGGAGGCAGATGCACCGATCCTGGGCCCCTCGGGTCTGGGAGAGCAGCGACGGCAGAAACACAAACTTTCGGAGTCCCACTCGGATTTCCTGCGTCGGCGCTGACCCCCCCTCCTCACACCCCTGCCGGCGCCTCCGACGCCGATCTCGGCCTGCTCCGCGCGCCAGGAGTCCTGCGCCGACCGAAGGAGTCGTCGCCGAACTCGGGAGGTTCAAATGTGTGCCGTTTTTGTTTGTGGGGCTGAGTGGTGCTGTCCGTCGCTAGAGTCTGGAAGGCTGGGGCGGGCCCTGGGCGCCCTGCGCCTCTTTTCGTACCTCTGCCTCCGCCTCCGCTTCGTCATGCTCCCTCCCTCTCGGGTCGGACGAAATGGATGGGGACCCGCGAATTCTGCTGCGTTCAGCCAGACTCAGCTCCGCCGCCGAGCGCTTTCCTCGACGCTTCAGCCGCGGTGGTGGAGCCTCGACAGTTGGTGGGGGGCTCCAACGGGCAGGCCTCCCGTGGTGCCTCACTGAAGTCTCGCAGTGGTGATCTGAGGCAAGGGAGACGTTCCCCCAAACGAGGAGGCAGAGGATGAGGATGAGGAGGAGGAGGAGGAGGAGGAGGAGGAGGAGGAGGAGGAGGAGGAGGAGGAGGAGGAGGAGGAGGAGGAGGAGGAGGAGGAGGAGGAGGAGGAGTAGGAAGAGGAGGAGGAGGCGGGTGGGCTCCCGGCGATGGTCTAAGGCGTCGCTGACAGAGTGGTGGTGAGGCCTTCAGGTTGTGGGAGTACATTGCGTGCTGGCGATCTCACGAGTGCCTGCGCATTATTAGGTCACCAGGTTACCTCGTAATCATTGGCAGCAGCATGTTGTTGTGCTAGGGCGCGCAGTGGCTGCCGCCTCGCGCCAGGAGGGGTTGGGATGGATGGAGGTGGTCAGGGTGGGGTGGAGGTGGGGGATGGTAGGCCTCTGGGTGCTCAGGGGCAGGAGTGGGGAGCGAGGGGGGAGTAGCCGAGCACGGAAGGCTCGTGTCGTGTCGACTCGGCGACGACCGTATTGCGGAAGGTTGAATGCCACCAGTGGCCATGCGTCCAACACTGAATGACCTGCGCTTTCGGAGACCCGCGATCTCTCGAGGTTGAGCGAACCACGCGGCGTCAGAAAAACCGTCGCCGGCGTCACGACACGAACCTGTCGCACACGGGGCACGGCGGAGGAGGCAGCGGCGGAGGGGCGGATCTGGCCAGGGAGGCGGGCCGGGGTCGAGGAGCCGCGCACGCGTTTCTGCCAGGTGGCGACGCACCCGGTGGCCGGCAAGATCCTGGTGGCCGCCAGGGCCAGCGGCGGGGGGGGGCGGAGGGTCGGGTCAGGCGAAAGGGTCGGGCAGGGGATGGACTACAGAATAGATGTACCCCCAAATTGTTTTTTGCGTCGGATCCACGAGGAATGGTACGATTTTTTCATCGATTCGACGAGGAAGTCAAGTTTGGGGTACATCAATTCCGTAGTCGATCCCCTACTCGAAGGGGGTGGTTGGGTAGGACTGCCTTGCACAGAGACGCTAGCAGCAGACGGTCAGACGGTGTTCAAGCGATCACTTTGGCCGTGTTGCTCCGACTGGTATAGAAACTAGCACTCTCATGTAATTGGAATTTGGCCATCCTCTCTGTCACTGCTTGAATTAGCGCAACTCCCATTGGATGGGTGGGAAAGATGAGGGGGTTAATTGCAGGAGGCCTCCCTCACTCGCGCGCGGAGCGCGCCAGGGGAGGCGCCGGAGGCGCCGCCAGGGGGGAGAGCATGCTACGCATGGAATGGATTCAATGAAAATCAATTGCAGTGGACCCGTGAGTGGATCAATCTAGATTGATGAGGCTATGATGCCTCGAGGGAAGCCGGTCTCGGGGATGGTGGTAGAATTCGGACTTCCAGGTGGCTGGAGTTCTGAGCAGCACCAGCATCACGGATCATTTTTCCCTAGTGGAGGCACCCCCTTGTGATGGTGTTGGTGCTCCCCAGGCCTCCAATCTCAGTGTGCTGCCCCTTGCGCGTCCAGAGCCGTTGCCCTCGAAGAGCGAGCGCCACGACCCCGCGCTCTGCATACCCGCCCGCAGGATCTACCGAAGGGCTACCGCCTGGCGCTGTGGGGAAGATGCACATCCGACAAGAAGATCGGTGAGAAAAAGATGGAGCCTGAGGGGTCGCCATGAAGGAAACGGATCCTGAGGGAAACGGGTCCCAAGGGTTTTCGCCGTTTTTGGGCTTCTGGGGCCCTGAAGGGGCCCCAGGGCATTCAAAGACGGCCCAAGATGAAGCACTGCTCCTGAGGAATGGGCCCAGGGTTCACAAGCTGTTTCCCGCAGGATCCGTCTCCTGGAAGCCAGAGGGGTCGGAACAGGAGAAGACATTCGCACCCACGGCCCCGTCATGCCCCGCCCGGAAACATTCCCAGTGTTGGTCGGGACTGGGATCGGGAGTGTTGTGCCTGGCCGTGGCGGCAGGAATAATCACCCTTGCGCCCAGTCTCTCCGGGTCCCACCTGGGAGAGCCCACCCTTGCTTGGGGCTAGGGCTGGGGGGCGGGATGCCTTGTCTGGCTACTCTGCAATGCGTACTTCGTCTGGTAGCCGCACGCTTCTCTTCTTCTCGCTTGCGCTATCACCGTTGATGCAAGGGTGTTACACCTGCCATTCTTCTCGGTGAAGCAGGTTGCACCAATCAGGTTACCCGTTCCCTTCATCTTCCTCTTCCGCCTCCTGCACCTGCTCCGGCTCCTCCCTATTACCCTCGTCTGAGTAGTCATTGTAGTGTTCATCATCGTCATCATAAGCATGTGCTTTCCTTTCCATGTTCCCTCTCAGCATCGTTCCCGAGCCACGCCCCCTGCTGGGGCTGCCCGCCCTGGGAGGACAGGGCTCGTTTCGAATATTCCGATTCGATTCTCGATTTTGATGGCTTCCGATTCCGATTTGATTCGACTTCGGATTCCGATTTGGGCTCCGATTTTTTTGGACGCATACTAGCCTGCCGATTTCTGCCGATTCGACTTTTCCCGACTCGGCTGCCGATTTCCGCCGATGCGATTGATTTCGATTGCCGACCAGACTTATTGATTCGATTCCGGGGCCGCCCGCCCCGGGAGGAGTGGGCCTTCGACCTCGGGAGCGGGTGGATGCTGGACCCCACCGGCCAGAAGGGCAGCATGGCGCCTGCGGGGCCGGGATCGCCGAGGTGTGGTCCGAGAGCAGACGGGGCCAGAGGATTTCGCCGACGTCGCCGATGCGTCGTCGGTGCGGTGCGACATTCCGACTCAAGCGGTGGCGAAGCGACCCGGCTCGCCTATAGGCCCACCAAAGAGTGTTCCAAGAACCTTCTGTGGTTTGCACGAAATGTTATCAGAACGTTTCTGGGCGAGACTGTCTTGTTTCGACACATCGGGCTCGTGTTCTTAGAGCATTTTCGGGTTCTACGAACATGTCGTGGTAGGCCTCTAGGAATGCCGGGACGGTCGGTCCCTGCTCCACATCTGCTCGAGTCCCATGTGCGCGGCCTCCAGCGGGGGCGACCGCGGGGTGGGGGAGCGACGGAGGCTCCCGCGCGCGCGCAGGGCCTGCGGGAGGGTGGAGGGGCCAGAGCGGCAGCATGCCAGGAGGGAGGGCGAGGGGGGCCGGCGGCTGGGGGGAGGTGCAGAGGGGGCGGGAGTCCAGGCATCCCAGGCGGGGTCTAAGCGGAAAGGGTCGGTGGACTGCGCCGCATAACCGATGTATCTACGATTCGGCTGGATGCAGTCTTCGATTTTCTCCACGCTGGCGTCGCCGATGCACCGCCGTCGTCGCCCTGCGCACAGCAGGCAATATGCTGACACCCCCGACGTCCCTGTCAAAAAAGAAAACAAAGTGCTCGCGGGCTTCACGAACATCACCCAAGACTTTGCCCCAAAATGTACATGGTATTGTTTTCTGACAGGGATGGTGGGAGGGGGCGCATCGGGTTGGTTGCACATGCTCCGAATTTAGAGGCAGATTGTGGTTTGTATTGTTTTTTGACAGGGATGGTTTGGGGTGGGGGTCATGAGGTCGGCATTGTTCCTGGTTGGCTGCGGGTCGCCTGGGGGAGGGGGTGAATATCAATAGGGAACAGTGATAGACCCCTACCACGAGCAGGGGAAGGAGGAGTTGTGGCAGAGAACTGAGAACAACTCGTTAAACCACTCAGCCCAGAGGGCTGGTGGGATAGCTCAGGACATCTAAGGTCTCGGCTACCATCCAGCATCGACCGCTTTGCCTCAGAGCTTCGCTGGGGCGCAGTCCGCGTTCTTCGGCTACGCGTGTGCAGCAGCGATCCTTCGCTGGAGTGATCCACGTTGCGTGAGAAGCCGACGCGCCAGTCGTCACGACACGAGCCTGCCGCACCTCCCTGAGACCCGAAGCCGCGACACAGAAGGCAGCGCAGCGACACATCTCTACTGGGCGGAGGCCAGCCTCGGGGGTCAGCGAGCGGGGGCGGCTCTTCTCAGAAGGCTCGGAAGTCCCCCGGCCTTCTCCGAAGGCGCAGACGACCTCCCAGAAGGCTGGAGGGCTCCTCCGAGAAGCCCCGCCGCCTCTGAGAGGGCCTCCTCCTCCTCCTCCTCCTCCTCCTCCTCCTCCTCCTCCTCCTCCTCCTCCTCCTCCTCCTCCCCCTCCTCCCTCTCCTCCTCCTCCTCCTCCTCCTCCTCCTCCTCAGTCCTCCTTCTTCTCCTCCTCCTCCTCCTCCTCCTCCTCCTCCTCCTCCGTCCACCCCCCCCTCCTCCTCCTCCGTCCTCCTCCTCCTCCAGTCCGTCCCCCTCGCTCGTCGCCGAGCCGGAGACCCCGACCCCCTCCTCCTGCAGCACCTTTCGGGCCGGATCGATCCGTGGAGACCCCAGGCCCGGGTACCTGTTGGCCACAAGACGCTCGGCGAACGTGGGCACATTTGGACTCGCAGATCCCAAGCTACTTCAAGCGCCCTCCTGCTTTACGAATCGATCTGCTGTGGTTGTGCTTTGTCATTCTCCGGGAGGGCCTGAGCCCAACCAATCTCATCCGCCTTCCTTCTTCATGTTTCTACCCATCTCTTCCGACCAGCGTGCATGTACGCAGCAAATCTCTTGCTGCGCTCGTGACGTGCCTCGAGGGCCCGCGCGCAGCCGACGGCGCCGACCGCCCGCGCCCTCGACGCTGCGCCGGCCGGGGCCCCGCCCACGCCATGGCTCCCGGAGCGGCGCCCGCCCAGCCCCTCGCCGCGCTGGCCGGCGGCCTCGGCGGCCCCCTGCCGAGATCGCGCCGCCGCTTCGCCAACCCGTGGATGGTCCCCTGGCGCGCTCCGCACGCCAAGGAGGGCTCCTCCTCGCCGTCCTCCTCCTCTCTGCACGAACGAAATGGGCACGGAAAGAATGGGTACAATGCCCAACAGCAGTTCCTGTTCATTTTGAACAGGACTCGCTGTCCACGCCGCCGCGGCCTGTGTCCATTCGAGACAGAAGGCCGCCTGCCCAACAGCGGCCGCTGTTGGTTTGGGATAACATTTGTTGTTGGGCATTGTACCCATTCTTTCCGTGCCCATTCCGGGCGTCCAAATCCTCCTCCTGGTCCTCCTCCTTCCCTCCTCCTCCTCCTCCTCCTCCTCGTCCTCGTCCTCGTCCTCCTCCTCCTCCTCCTGATCCTGCTGCTCATCGTCCACCTCCTCCTCCTCCTCCCCCTCCTCCTCCTCCTCCTGCGCCTCTTCAATTTCCTCCTGCTCCTCCTCCTCCTCCTCCTCGTCCTTCCTCTTTTGTTTGGCTGGTTGCTGTACTGGACTCATTCTGAACATCGTTAATTGTGTTGTGCTTCTCTTGGACCCTCAGCTTATCCCCTCGGCTCTGGAAATGTTTTGCGCCTACCGCTTCAACGCGAGCAGGTTTAAGATTGTCACCACGGCCAAGTATCTTGGGATCATGATAGGCCTGGATGGCCCAGAGATCTCATGGAAGCAATGTGCGACCAAGATATTCATGAGGGCGGGGAGGATTAAGAGGATGTGAGTGGGACTCACGCCAACTATTGTCGCGCACAATCGTTACGCTGTGCCAGTCGGCTCGTATGTTGGCCAGCTGCATTGTCCTTCTCGACTCGCTCTATATCTGCAGAAGGAATGTCTTCAACTTTATACCCAAGCCCCCGGACATAGTGTACCTCCCTTTGCTCTTCTTTTGTCTAGAGCAGCTGGGCCTCGAGCAGGATTGCTAGGACATTGCTGTGATCGCCAAGGCCTCGATGATGAGAGTTGTCCTCGCTTCTGGAGCGTTTCAACACATGCGTAACACATATCATGATATACTTGGGGGTGATAAATATCTTACTACATACCAATACTCTCCGCTCACTAGGACGTCGATTTTTTGCCAACTGTTGCAGCTGAGCAGGGAGACCGAACATTCCCGACCAGCTGGGCGACGATGTCCCGATGTGCAGGCTCCAGGCGATGATTGCCAGGAAGCTGCGAATTGACACGGGTCACGCATCACATGCCCTCATCCTCCTTCCTCGGTGCCAGAAGTGGGTCCCGAGTACGACGATCGCCGACGTCGATAAAGCGATCGAATGGATGAATTCAGCAGCCAAGCAAACAATACTTTCACTCATGTTAGTTCCAGTGACAAAACCGATATGTGACAGTTGGAATGCCACCAGAAGATACCGACAGGGAGCGCAGAGCTGTCGCTTCGGTTGCTACGCGGTCGGAGGGGATTGCCAGCTCCACTACTGCTCATGTCTGATTGTAGCCCAGTGTTTACTTGATGCCCTCCGCATCTGCCACGATCCTGGGGTTCTGAGCCGCCTTCCTCCTTCCTCCCGCATCATTTTTCTGCATCGCCTCCGATATTTGCTTCTCTCTGTCGAGCTTTTGATTGCGTTCGCTCTGTCTTCCAATCCCTCCGTGCCTCCAACGTCACTCCGCACTCACAACGAGCTCAGCGGCTTCTGCACGCTCGGCTCCGCCAATCCATCGGGCGCGCCCGCCGCTTGCAAGCTGTGCTGTAGCAGGTAGCAGGTTGAAGGGGATGAACTTGCTGCGCAGACGGGTGGGGCTCCTCCTCCTCCTTTTCTTCTTCTCCTCCTCATCCTCCTTCTCTTCTTCTCCTCTTCCTCCAAGTCCTCCTCCTCGTCCCCCTCCTCCTCCACCTCCTCTCCCTCCTTCCCCCTCCTCCATTGACTCTTCTCCCCCTTCAGTCCCCCTTCTCCTCCCCCTCCCCCTCCTCCTCCTCCTCCTCCTCCTCCTCCTCCTCCTCCTCCTCCTCCTCCTCCTCTTATTCCTTTTCCTCCTCCTCCTCCTCCTCCTCCTCCTCTTCCTCCTCCTCCTGCCGTCGGTTTTTTCTCGGATTTAAGGCGGGCGGTGGAAGCCCTGTTTGAACAGGTGAGATATGAGCGGATGGAAAACGCAGAGACAGCAGCAGTGAGTGCGATCCTTTTTATATTCATTGTTTTGCCGATCGGCGTGGGCCCTCGTCCCCCCCCATGGAGTAGATCTTGATTTTGTTGTCGCCTGTTTCTGGGAAGCGGAGCCTCCCTCGTAGGACGCACTGTTGCAAACAGTCACATCAAGCAAAGGTCCTCAACCAGACCCCTCCCAGCCCCTCCCATCCCCCTTCAGCCCAATTTCGAAGCGTCGCATGATAAAACGCCCTCATGGCAGAGCTCATGACCCCGCGTTCCTCAGACCCTGCTCTGCCCTTGAACGTCCGGCGTAGATGGTGAAGAACAGCGCGAACAAGCAACCTTTTCCCTGACCTCGTCGGGTACCGGGATCGCCGCTAGCGGCCGCCAGATGGCCCAAAAATCGAGCACAGTCAACATTACGACCACACCAATATTTTGGATAGGGAAGAGGAGAAGGAGGAGAAAAAGGAGGAGGAAGACGAGGAGGAGGAGGAGGAGGAGGAGGAGGAGGAGGAGGAGGGGGAGGAGGAGGAGGAGTTTAAGCCCAAGACGCATCAACGATGTTGCAACAAACCTTCCTTCCAATGGCCCCTGGCGCGCTTCGCACGTTTTCGAGGCTGGAGGTTCGAGGCTTGAAGATTTGCAGTTTTCGTCATTTTCTCGGCATCGCCCCAGCATACTTATACTACATGTGCGTCTCCCCCCCAGGGGCGACGCGCGCACCGAGAAATCTTACAGTATATGTGTCGTGGCGGGCGCTTTCTGGCCACCCCGTTCGGGAAAACGGTATAGTACAATATGGGTATGTTATATGTTCGGGTCGGACGCGCGCCTCCAAGGAGGACATCTCGTATTAGTGTGTCCCTGTGCGTCCCATCTTCTGCGCGTTGTGCAGCCTCGGGATGCGCTCCAGCAGCTGCGCCTTGCCGAGGGCGTTCTGGGGGTGCACGG